GGGATGGGGGGATGCAGGAAGGAAATTGGGATGGCAACATGAAAGTGGGGATTGAAGGACAGAAGAGATGCAGGGGATGCGGGTGAAGAGACAGGGACGGGGATGGAATGGCCACATGGGAATGGGGATGTGGGGACAGGGATGAAGGGATGAAGGGATAGGGATCCAGGCATGCAGGGGTGCAGGGTGAAGGGATGAGAGACGAAGGCGTGGATGAGGGATGGGCATGCGGGGATTTAGGGATGCAGGGACATGGACAAAGAGGTGTACAGGATGCTCTGGCCACATTCCCATCCCTCAGGGCCAGCACTGCCGGTTCAGGGCCGTGTGGGCCTCCCCTGCAGTGCCCCCCTCACCCCTGCAGTGCCCCCCTTGCCCTGGCACTGCCCCCTCCCCGTCCCCCCACTCACAGAGGGGGCGGCTCCGGTACTTCCGCACGGTTCTCACTTTCTCGGCGATGCAGTGCTGGGGCACAGAGAGACCCCAGAGTCAGCCCCAGCCCCCCGAGACCCCACCCCATCTCCTCGGGGACCACTGACCCCTCCAGGAGCCTCCTGCACACCCCCCACCCTCAGGGACCCCCCTGGATCCTGTTTGCACCCAGGAGACCTTGAACCCTCCCCCAGAGAGCCCCAAACCCTCGGGGCAGGGGGGCTCCTCCAGCCCCTCAGGGGAGTCCCTGCCCCCATCCTGGGGGTCCCTCTGCCCCATTCCCCCCGAGAACCCACCAGTTTCTCCACGTTGACCAGCCCGTCCAAGAGGGTTTTGCTGCCTTCATGCAGGAAGGTCAGATCTGGGGGAGAGAGGGGGTGATGGGGGGGTCCCGTGGGTTGTCAGAGGGACCCAAAAACCACCAAGGGGAAGCCCCTGAGACCCCCCCTCACCTTTGAGGATGAGTGGCACAAAGGGGATGAGCGGGGGCTTCATCTTGGCCAGCACCTCCCGGTAGGTCTTGTGGTTCCTGCAGGGGTCCTGGGGGAAATGGGGGGGTCAGACTTTAGGGGGTCTCCCCAGGGGTGCCCTGGATTCTCCCCCATGCTGGTGGCCATGGGTATGGGGCTGGTGGCCTGGGGGAGAAGGGCATGGACACCCCAGGACATCTTGGACACCTTGGGACTGTCCCCTGCTCAGCAGCACCCCAAACACCCCCATGGGAGGTCTGGGGTCCCCCCACAACAACCACAACAGCCCCCACACCTCTTACCCACCGTCAGGTTCTCAAACTTCCGAAACAGATTCTTGAATTTCCCTGGGAGCTTCTGGAAGACAAAAATGGGGAGAGGGTAGGCAGCATCCAGCAGGACCAGGGAGCATCAAAGAGGAGGGCAGGAGCATCCAGGAGGTGCTGGGAGAGCCCAGGGAAGGGTCCGGGAGCATCTGAGGGTGTCCAGAAAGGTCTGGAAGCATCCAGGGGTGGTCTGGGAGCACCCAGAGGAGTCCTGGCAGCACTGAGGTGAGGGGGAGAGGTCCTGGAGGCTTCCAAGAGCACTCAAAGTAGGGTCTGGAAGAACCCAGGAAAGGTCAGGGAGCAGCCAGGTGTGGGCACCAGCATCCCAAGGGTCCTGGGAGCACCTGGGCAGTGCCAGGGAGCACCCGGGGGAGGTCTGGGAGCATCCAGAGAATCCTGGGAGCACTGGAGAGCAGGGTGGGAGCATCCAGGGGCAGTCCAGGAGCACCCAGAGAGGTTCTGGGAGTATTGAGGGGGAAGGGAGCTCCTGGGGGGTTCCAAGAACACACAAGGAGGGTCTGAAAGAACCCAGGAGGGGTCTAGGAGCAGCATGGGAGGACCCAGGTGGTGTCAGGCAGCACCCAGGGATGGTCTGGGATCACCCAGGAAAGGGTCAGGGAGCACCTGGGGGTGTTCAGAAAGGCACGGGAAGATGTTGGGGGGTCAGGGGCACTCCAGGCCTCACCTCCCAGGTGAGGCGCAGGCGGCTGACGGCGGCGTTGTTGAGGCCGATGACGATGGCGTAGAAGGAGAGCATGTCCTGGTTCTGCTTACAGCTGGTGGGGGACAGCGTGAGGGGTGGGCTGGCCACCGCAGGGACCCCCTGGCGGCCCCTCCCGTGGTTGCCCCCCACTCACATGGCAGCGATCTTGATGAGCTTCTTGAGCAGGTGGGCGCGCTTGCCCAGCCCCTCGCAGAGCAGCAGCTCCGTGCCCACCCAGTGCTGCACTTCGCTGCAGCGCTGCAGCAGCAGCTCCAGGTTCGCCGTCTCCCGCCGGCCCCGCTCCCCGTGGAACACGTAATCCACAAATTCCAGCTGGTGGTGGGGGTAGGACACACACAGATTCCATCAGAGCCCCCCACCCCACAACTTCCACAGCGCGGCGGCTCCCGCGGGGCCCCCCGAACCTCGTGGATGCAGCGGAAGAGCTCCCAGTGGAAGGCTGTGAGGTGGTTGGCGACGTCCTCGGGCTCGGCGCGGTGGATTTCGGTGTCACCCGGCACCACCTGGATCTCCTCGGGCAGTGGCACCTGCCAGGGGACACCGGACGGGGCACTCAGGGCCGGGAGGGTCCCCCCGGCTCTGCGCGGGGAGTGATGGCGCTGCCAGGGCCGGGCGGGGGCTCGGGGGGTCCCTGTCGGGGGGTCCCCACCGCGGGGCTCACCAGGGAGTCGAAAGTGTCCCTGGTGCAGGCGAAGAGGTGGCTGTTGATGCCCAGGGTGGTGAACACGCACTCCTCGCTGGGCTGCAGCACCGCTTTCTCTGCCGCGGGGCACAGCGTGGGGGGTCAGCACCGGGCGGACCCCCCAGCCCTGCCCGCAGCACCCCCGGCACCCCGGGCACCTCCGGACGAGGCCATGGTGACGAGGATGAGGGCGTCCCCGCGGGTGCTCTGCTCCTCCGAGTACTGGAGCTTCTCGGTGACCGAGGCCAGGATGTCCTGCACCGAGGCCGAGAGGCGGCTGCGGATGGTGACGTACGAGTGGTCGGGCATGTACACGCGGCAGAAAACTGGGGAGAGGGCGGGGGGTCAGCGCCGGGCACCCCCACACCACCCCGGGCACTGCCCACCGGGGAAACTGAGGCACGGAGCGGGCCTTGAGCAGACCCAGAGAGGGCACGGAGCCTGGTGGGTCACGGAGGGGACCCCGGTTCTCCTCAGCTCCCCCACAGTCACTCACTCTCGTCAGAACCCCGAAATGCCACCCGGGTCTGCAGGCAGGAGTCGATGCGTCGGAAATGCCGGAACAGCGGCTTCACCTGCTTGTTCGGGGGGGGCGTCTCGTCGGCCACCCTGGGGGACGGGGGGGGCACAGGACAGGGCTCAGGCAGGGCCCCGGACCCCGGGGCTGCACCCCGAGACCCCCGGGGTGCCCTGGCAGTCCCCACCAAGGGCCTCGCTGGCAGCAGGCGGGGCGCAGGGAGGGCAGGGGGGCACACCGAGGATGGGCAGAGGGAGGGCAGTGGGGCACACTGAGGGTGGGCAGAGGGAGTGCAATGGGGCACACCGAGGGTGGGCACAGGGAGGGCAGTGGAACCCACCGAGGGTGGGCACAGGGAGGGCAGTGGGGCACACCGAGGGTGGGCACAGGAGGAGGGTGAGCACGAGGGCGCAGTGGGGAGGGGTCCGAGGCTGCACATGGCGAGGGCACAAAGGGTGGGGGGCACAAAGTGGGATGTGAAGGTGCAACCAGGAGGGCACCAGGCTGGGCTGCTACTGACCCCTCCAGCCCCTGGGCACCCCAAAGAGCCACAACTCCGTGTCCTTCTCGTGGACTCCCTGACCCACAGGGACCCCCAGGACCCTCTGCCCTTCCCAGGGACCTCCTGACTCAGAGGGACCCTCAGGACCCCCTGTCCTTCCTGGGGATCCTTTGTCCCACAGGGACCCTATAGGACTCCCTGCCCTCCCTGGGCACCCCTGGGTGGGTGACCCCTGGTCCCCCCGGGGACCCCTGACCCCAGGCACCCCCAGGACCCCCTGACCCTCCTCTCACTTGAGCTCCACAGTCTCCACGAGCTGGTGCAGCTTGATGATCTCGTCCTCCAGCTCGTGGTAGAGGGACGTGTCCTTCATGATGAGCAGGTAAAGCTCCTGTGGGGCGAGAGGGGTCAGGGCAGGGACTGCAGGAGACAGAGGTGGGGGACACGGCGGGAGGGGACACCCACCTTGATGACCTTCCCAGCGCTCTCCTCCTCCTGCAGCAGCCCCTTGTAGGTCTCGAGGAAGTGCAGCAGCACGGCCAGCACCGCCCGCTTGCGCCGCAGCCCCGACCCTTCCTCCCAGCGCGCCGGGGGGCTGCCCGCCGCCAGCACGAAGGTGGCACTGTCAAGGAGGTGCCACGGCAAGGAGGGACCCTCGGCCAACCCCCAGCACCCGCTGCACCCAGGGACCTCACTGAGGGGTGGTTGTGCCCTCCCTGCTAGCACCACGCTGCCCACCTTGCACCCAAACCCACAGCCCAGCCTCATGGCACCCCAATCCCCTTCTTGCTGCTCCTGTGAGCCCCCCCAGAGCACCCCCGCTGCCCTCCCCATGTCCCCCTTCTCCTTGCAACCCCTGTGCCCAACGTTTTGTCACCATCACGGCCACCCTCGTGCCAGCTTCACGGCACCCTGGTGCCCATGCTGGTGCCCTCCTGGTTGCACCCCAATGCCAACTCTTGTGCCACCACCGTGTCCCCTTCACGGCCCTGTTATGCCCACCCTCTCTGTACCCCAATACCCTCCTCATGCCCAGCCTCGGACCCCTCCTCACCCACCCCCATGCCCACCCCCATGTCCCCCTCGTGCTCAACCTCAAACTCCTCCCCACTGCACCCTCCACACCACCCTTGTACCCACCCTCACCGAACCCCAGTGCCCTCCTCATGCCCAACCCCGGACCCCTCCTCACCCACCCCCGTGCCCCCCCAGGATATTGCTGGTGCAGCTGCTGCAGGAAGCGCTCGGTGGGCAGGAACAGCGAGTGGGTGAGCACGATATCATCCAGCAGCGACTCTATGGGGACAGGGGGACAGGTGTGGGCAACCCCCTAGAGCCCCCCGACCCTCTGAGGGGAGGGGAGCGATGGTAATTTGCAGGGTGACACCGGGAGAGGCCGAGCCCCACGCGAACCCCCCCGCGCCGGCGCTGACTCAGGGCCCGCTCCCAGCCCCGGGGCAGCCGGGCCCGGCCGAGCCGGTGTGGGGGCAGAGGCGCCGGCAGGGCGGGACCGGGGCCTCGACGCCCCGGCACACCCGGGAGCCCCGTGAGAGAGCCAGGCCACGGGCACAGCAGGACACGGCAAAGGGAAACTGAGGCAGGCAGCTTGGGGCACGCCGGGCGGGTGCCACAGCCGGGCTCTCTGGTGGCACCACCCTGTGAAGGTGTTTTGGCGAGGCCAGGTGAGCCGAGGGCCCGGTACCGGCGTCTGTGCCCATCAGAGCCGGCATCAGTCACCGCTGTGACCTTTGGACGAGGCACCGCTCCCTCGCCTGGCACCAGCACAACCCTCGTGCCCACGCACCCCGGGGATGCTGTGGTGGGAGCCCAGAGCCCTTCCAAGGCCCAAGGACCTGAGCCACGGAGGGGCCATGCAGAACATCCCCCCAGTCACCCCCAGAGCGTTAAACCCGGTCACGGATCAGTGCCAAGCCAGGGCAGAGGATCCCCTGACACTCCCACACCGGGCACGGCACCCACGGGGCATCAGCTGCTGCCGAAAGCAGGACACGCAGTCTGGGGCACGGGGACGGGCAGGGGCACCAGCAGCACAGGTACACAGCCCCCAGCTCTCCCAGCCCCCTGCCCTGAGTGCAGCCCCCTCCCAGGTTCTGTCTGTGGGCCAGGAGTTGAACACTCCCCCCCATCCCTTCAGGCTGCAGCCCCCTCCAGCCCTGCCTCAGTTTCCCCATGCCTCTGCAGTACTCACACTGTACCCCAGACTCACAGGGATGTTTCCCCATGTCGGGAACCCCATGCTGGCTCCTTCCCCCCTGCTCCCTGCCAGCCCGGGCACCACCAGGCCTGGCAGCGTGCTTGTGCAGGCAGGACCTGGCGCTGCCAGTCCCAGCTCGCCCCTACCCGAGGGCTCCTCTTGGTGGTTGCACCCAATCCCGGCCCTGGCATCACTGGAGCACAGGGCTGGCAGTGGCCTGAGGTCCCCAACGCCCTCTGGTCCCGGCAGCCGAGTGGGATTGGCCGGGACAGGAATCCCCGTGGTGTGGGAAAGCTCCCACCCACCTGCACCCAGCCTGGCTCCCGCCCAGCTCTGGCACCAAAACCACCCCGACACCTGGGCACGGGCAGCCACGGCGGGACAGCACCGGGAGACCGGTGCCAGAGGAAAGGGGCATCCAACCGCCCCCCCCCCTCCACTGCAGCTCCCATCCGGGCTAATTTTAGCACCAGGACGATGTTAAGGACCATCCAACCGGGAGGTGGATACTGCAGTGACTGCCGGTGCCCGGCCACCCCCGGCCCCCACCGAGCTGGCGCTGCCATTGAGCCCAAATCTCCTTGCCGGCCCTTCTGCCGCGCTGTCTTGCCAGGGGAGCCCCTGCCCACCCCACAGATTCCTGCCCACCCCGCTGCCACCGACGCCCTGCCCCGGCGGGGACCCAGCCTTGACCTTGTCACCCCAACCGGGCGCCGCCGTGCCCTGTGCAGGGCCACCCGCCTCACCGGGCACGAAATGTCCCCCACCCCGCTGTCTCCCAACCCAGCACCCACCAGCGCATCCCCCCCGCAAGCAGCGGCCGCCCCCGGTCTCTCCCCGCTCCGCCGCATCGCCCGCGATCCCCGCGCTCCCCACGCCGGGCACCCCCGCAGCCCGTCCCGGCGG